GATTCTCACAAATCCACTCGATGATTAGTTCAAATGTATAGCCAAGACTCAAACTCTACGAGGTGAACTAATATAAGCATTGTGAAGTATGAAAGCATGTGCTAATGGATTGGTCTCCTATCTTGATTTAATCAACAATTCAACAAGCTCTTTCGATTACTTAAGAGAATCAATGAATTAAATCAAACAAAATAATGCAAAGATAATCACCAAGATATTCCTCTTTCGATTAAATAAACTGATGAATAAAGTTGCAACAATTCAAAACTTTATAAACGAATTCAAGCATGAACTAGAGTTAAAATTTACATATATTTATCAAAACACCATATCTGTCAAACCCTAAGGTAACTTAATCCATAATCATGGAGGAAGTCATCATAATTACAAGTGAAGAATAAGAAAACATCAATCTCAATTTACAATCCAAACTCTTGTATTGAATTGATGGGAAGATGATGAAATCCCGTGTCTCGTTACCTCCAATGCTCTCCCAAAGCTTCCACGGTCAAAAGTCCCTTCCAAAAAATCTTTTTGGTGTATTTATACCATGTAGGAATGGACTCAGGTAAAATTACCTTTTCCTAGCCGAAACAGGATAAATACTCTGAGGAAACTATACACATGCACTGCCCCATGTGGGGCGCTTGTGGGAAAGTCCAAAGAGCAATTTCTGATATAAAGTAGAAATTCATATTGCCGCGCCGCATGGGCCCAGGTGAAATTACCTTTTCCTAGCCGAAATAGGATAAATACTCTAAGAGAACTACACATGCGTTCCGCCTCATACGGGGCGCTTGTGGGAAAGTCCAGAGAGCAATTTCTGATAGAAAGTAGAAATTCCTACTGCCGCGTTGCATAGGCCCAAGTGAAATTACCTTTTCCTAGCCGAAACAGGATAAATACTCTAAGAGAACTACACATGTGTTCCGCCTCATGCGGGGCGCTTGTGGGAAAGTCCAGAGAGCAGTTTCTGATAGAAAGTAGAAATTCCTATTGTCGTGCCACCCATGTAGTGCGACAATGCATTTTTATAGAGTGTTTCATTTGTTCCACATTTTGACATTTAGACTTGGCTCCCGACCCAGAAAGAAATCTTGAGTTACTCCCTTGGGCGTTTGCTCAAATTTCAAAGGTCCAACTTGTTCAATTTAGCTCCTAAATATCTTTTTAACTCAAAATTGCTTCCTACAAGGCATAAAATACATAATAAGTGCAATACATTAGTATGTAAGCTCAAACACAAATAAAATGCAGTAATTAGAGGGTAAACTATGACTAAAATACGTGATTCTAGACTACCATCAGAAATATGAGTTGAATCCCCCTAGTCGAAAAGGTTCTACCCGAGTTAGGCTACGTACAACAGGGAGGTATGAATTGTAGTGATGCATGCTAAAAATAAAAGAGAATGGAGATTTGAGGAACTTACCTTTGGTGACATGCGTTCTTTCAGAATCGCCGTTTTGCAATGCTTTGTTCCTACTTTAAATAAAGAAAATATTTGTGAGTTTTAAAAGTTGTGGTGGATTTGTGGCCTTGATTCCATGAATTCGAATTCACGGCCACTCCGTTATCGAAGAACTGATTCTATCAGAATGGTACCAAGTTGCTTGGATATTCTATATTGCTTTCTAAAGACCTTGGCTTTCCATCATTGCCCCTAACTGTTACATACCTAAATGTCCATGGTACCGCTAACCCTTGTCCCTAAGGCAAGACATCTTCCTTTAAAATCAAACTTAGTTGTCATGCACCTAGTACCAGTTTGTGTCCGTAGTGCTTATCAACTTTTCCCATGAAGCAAGTCTTGCTTAGGCGGCCTTTTCAGTTTTTTTGAGACACTTTGTTCGGTTTATCAAAAGAGATCACATATGAATTCGTGCCTTTGTCAATGAAGTATATGCCCCAAATTGTGCTCGGAATTATGGGGAAGCTGTAGCCAATTTTGCAGCCATTTCTTTGCTTTATATTTTATGCAAGATTAGACCGAAAGGGACTCAAACAAAAGTTATGGATAAAAATAAAAGAACAATTGAAAGTGAAAAATAATCGTGTTTAAACAAAAGGTGTCCCTTTCAGGATGAGGAATAGGGAGACTTATCTGGAGGTATGTGCCGACTTCAATGAATCATGACATGCATTTTGGACTGGACGCCTGATCTGTCTGAGCTCTCTAATTCTCAAAATTTGTCTCAAGTGTTCATCTTGAAACTACCTTGGTTGTGCTCATGTCGGAGTACCGAAGACCCTCATTTGGCTAGTAGTGCCCTTTGCGGGTTTTTGCTAACTGACCTCTCTTATTTCTCTACTCACTATTGCTTTATGGTGCCCATATGGATTTTTACCAATAAGACTTTCTCATTTCTATGCTCACTATTGCCTTATGGCTCCCATATGGGTTTTTACTGATAAGACTCTCTCATTTCTCTACTCACTATCTCTTTATGGTTCCCTACGGGTTTTCACTAATAAGACTCTCTCATTTCTTTTTCTTGAATAATTTGAACCCTCTTAAGTTCGTTTAGATAATGTGTTCTGGGCTGCCCCTATATGCAACTTTGTTAGTTTTGCATTTGTTTTGAACCTCTTTAGTATTTAACTTTACCTAAAAGTTACTAATTCTGAGGTATGTTATTTAAATGTGTTTTATCTGAATAAATTGGACCTGTTCAAGTTGATTAGTCTACTGTGTCAATACTTGAATGCCTATATTTGCTATTTGACATAAGATTGCTTTTCCATTCTATTCTGAATTCCTATAATAGCTGATTTGCATCTGTAGTGTGTCCTAATCTATGTTAAGACCTTTTTTTATTAACTATGATCTGCTCCCCTATTAATGTGTCTCACAGTATGTCTTTGTTTTGCTTAATATCCTTTGTAACTGTTTGAAACCTTTAGATTAGTTATCATAATTTGTATTTCCCTACCATGTCTGATGATGTTTTGTTTCCTGATGTGAGTTAACATGTCTTTCTTTTGATACTGGGATGAAAATTTAGCATACTTTGGACCTTTTAAGTTTTAAACCTTTAAGTTAGTGCCCCACTTAAACTTGTTGGGTGTTATGCACCTTTGTATGATAAATCTTGTTAATCTTGCAAACTTGTTTCTCCCCTAACTCTTTCAACATATTTCCGCCAATGTGTTATTTTGCTAAGTGTTGAACCGTCTTCTACGTCTTGTTGACCTGCTTGATTAGCTGTTATGTGTTCTCAACTTTTCTATGTCTACTTTAAACTATAAGTGTATTTCCGTCCCTTAACCATTGTCCACTCATTCTCATTTTGTTAACTATGCTATTATGAACTTATCATTCTTGGCCGGCTGAAAGCCAAGGCCACCAAGACTCTTACTACTGACGTCCCTAATGTGAGCACTTCTCGGGTTCCATTTGAGACCCATGTGAACTTTGACACACCAAGGCTTGGGGTCTTTTGGCCACTCTCTTTACTTCTAATACCTCATCTATCTCTGACACTCATTTCTTCCCTTATTCTATCTATTGAACATGCAAGCTGTTTTGTTTAAGTGATTTCTCGGTAACTCGATGTTTGGTAGTATGGTCAATCTTTGGCTGTCTTGTTTTGGCTTGGGTTCCTCTGTGATTTCGGGGTTGTGCTGATGGATATAGTTCCCTGTTAATCTGGGTGCGCTAAATTGGTGAAGAAAGAGTTTTGTTGAAGGTCCAGGCAATGTTGGGTATTTCTTTTGGGCCTGTTACAAGTCCACTGTTATTGTTTGTATAATCCCTTGTAACTACATTCACTACTGGGACTGTAATAACTTTGTAATGAACGATTGGGGTGTTGATAAAAAATGGGGGAAACTGATATACTTAATATTTGCATGAAAGGGTAGCAAGCATGCTAATAGGATTCATTAGGATTTACTTGTTATCCAGCCTGCTATATATGCCTTTTAACTTCTATGTGCATTATTAGCAATCATGCCATTAAGAGAATCACACACTCACACTACTCTTTTACTATCAAACATGAGTTCAAATTCTTCATTTATTTCTACTGCTACGTATTACTAGACAACATGCCTATAAGAAACAAATGCCAATGAATTTTCTTTTAATTTGTATGACTATAACATATTCATTAGAAATCATGCCTATAAGATTTAATTATTTCATTTGCTATTGTATCGTACTGTTCACCTAGAAAACATGCCTATAGGGGCTAAGTATAATAAAAAAATTTTAGTTCCAATCGCCAGCCTTTAGAAATCCTGCCTATGGGGTATAAGTACTCCCTCTAAAGTGTTAATGTTGAGCTTCTCAAACGCTGTTTACTGCTTATTTATGCCACTGTCAAAAAGCATAAGTAATTCCGGGATTTTCCAATAGATTTCATTGTCCTTTACTATGTAAATCACTTAGACACAACATCTATAGGTTTAATAACTGGAAATCTGTGATCTCAATAATCAGCACGCAACAACTGTATAATTATTTGGAAATCTTGTCTATGAGCAACGTCTTGCATCTGAAACTGCCTGTATATTTAAATTCAAAGTCACATAGAAATTATGTCTATAGGGTTTAAGGCGCTTAATTCTGAAACTGGCTAACATGAAAACCTATTTCGCGCGCATTTTGTTGCTTAAGTGTCACTACAACATTTTAGCCCACAACCACACTTATTTTAGGTTACGCTTAAAAAGTGTGGCCAATAATATCTATGAGACCGTTTTCTAAGTGTGGCCTTTGGTAAGAGTCTTTGGCCACAGATTTTAAAGCAACACTTACAAAATGTTTTTAAAAAGTTTAAAGACTACACTTTTTAATCGTTGCCAAATCATAATATTTTTGGCCACACTTATTAATTATATGGCAACCTTTTTTCAGTGGTACTAAATTGTCATACTAAATGTTACATTTTATAAGTGTACCCTAAAGTTTCCTATAAAAAATTTGCCCTAAAAAATTTTCCCCCAATATTACGTGCGCGGCTATTCTCCCCCATTCTAAAAAACAGCCCGTAGAAAGTACCATTTAGGAATAAGCCAAAAAAGAAATTAAAACCTAGAATTCAATCTTTTCACAATCTTAGGTCCCAGACGCAAATACCTCCATCTCTTTCTGCATATTCTTCCAACCTCCCATCGAGCATGACCACTCATCTTCCCCATTTTATTTAGATTTAATACTCAAAATTATGCTTATATAATCCATCTGATTGAGAATATTCATTTTATTTCTCTTTTGATATATGATGCATTTGTTTTAGTTTATCCCAGCAGAGGGGACAAGAAGATTGTCAAAGGCAAACACTTCAATCACTCCTTTAGGAATGTAAGTTTTCCCGAGTCAAACTTTTGATTTTGTAGGTTTTCATAGTTTGTTTTAGTTTAGGTTTTTCAGTTTTTTCTTTTTTTCTTTTTAATTTTTTTTATTTATTGATGGGGCTAAAAAGAAAGTAGTTTTTGGTGTTGTATCAAATTTGGGTATCTTTAATACATATACACACACACTCACAAAGTTTTCCACTTTTGTTTTTTTTTTTTTTTTTTTTTTTTTTTCTAATTTTAGATTTTGGGCTGAAAAGAAGTACTTATATTTAAATTAAATTTTTGGGTATCAAAGTTTTCAACTTTTTCCTAATTTCGAATTCTTGAACTGAATGAAACTAATATTTTTGTGTAATTTAGGTATCAAATTTTTTTAACTTTTTTCTCATATTCATGGTTTCATGTTTACTATTTTTTCAATTCTTCTGAATACTGATGGGAATTTGATCCCATTATGTTGGTATGATAAATGCGATTATTTTATCTTTTAGAGAGAGGATGAGATACTGAGGGGTATTTATTTTGGATTTTTATTTTTAAATTAATCAATGAAGCTGATTAATTTGTGGATTTTGGACAAATAAGAATGCATTCAGTTGAGTAATATTAACTCCTTGCCTAAAGAAAATTATATTACTTCCTGTCTTTGTTGTGAGGATCCGATTAATTTTACATCATTTGTTGAAAAAGATTAGTCAACGCTCGAGAAGATCTGTGATGGACGTGAAGTTGAATTTGGCTTAGCATAAGTGTCCTGACTAAGTAAGAAAGACTTCTCATTTTACAACACATTATTTTGGAAACTTACTCTTGACTTTTAGCATTTATTTGTAAAATATAGTTAATAATTAATTATTATATATTTATTTTTAGGAATTCAAATGTTCCTAATCCAAGCTAAGTAATAGTAAGTCATGCTGCAAACAAAGATCTTATTAGATACTGAAGTTGCAATAGTAAGTTGCGCGGCAAGCTAAGATCTTATTATTATATTTCCTTTGGCTGAATAATACTTTTCGTGGAGCTGCTACATGGACAATTATTCTTTGTTATTATGATTCTTCCGTTCAAAGCTTTCTGAATACTTTGCATTAGCATTTTTATGCCCCTACTACAATTGTGTTACAACCCTCCCACCTCCGAATGATACAATTGCTCTTGTCATTATCAGATGATTGTTACAAGTTAACATAATAGTGGATAGTGCATTATCAGATAATTGTTACATATTTCTGAAAAATGTTGTTGTAAAAGCTGTTCATTATTGTTTCTCTTTGGCAGTCTAAATTTTTAAAGCTTCTGAGAAACAACGAACGATGCATTTAAGGCAGTATTTGAAAAGGAACAGCTTGATCGAGTTAGATGCTATGATAGATGGGTGACGACAAACTCTCTGAAAAAAGATGAGTAAATCAACAAGCTTAAACAAAATCATGCCAGTGAAATTATTTCTATGAAGGAATAAATGAAAGAAATGAAGAGAGAATAAATGCGATTTTTTTAGTCAATTGATACAAAACAATTCTGGATTTAATATTCAAGATATACCAGGGTGTGCCGGATCTAACCTTCATTCACCTGTTGATGCAAGTAGTGCACGTACGGAATGTGAGAGCACTAAATCTTCCCCATTCTTTTGGCTCAACTGATGCACTGGGTCTTGAAAAGGTATTTGTATTCCACAACTCCAAAATAAACAATTCAACTTAACTTATACGAACATACTTTTCTAAAATATTTGCTTTCGGAATATTAAAATAATTCAAAATGTGCTTGATTCTCAATTTTTTCTTAGTCTAGGGTTGCTTTTCTTGTTGTTCACGTACTTCTATTTTTTAGAGTTTAATTTATTTGATGTCTTGAAAAAATTACTCTTCTCCAAAAAATATATAGTGGAGTTATTCTCCTTCGTTTCTGCTTGCATCTTGCAAGCAGGTCACTCTTGGTATCATTTTAGTATTTGTGACTTTTTTTCTCTCCTGCTTTTGCTTAGCCCTCAATTCCCTACATTTGTCTCAATACCAATTTTATTTTTTAAAAGTCAACGTTTAGGCATTTCTCTAATTTTAAATTGAAAAACAACTTAATAAATCACTTTCGCTTGGTGATATGAAATTTTTAGCTATCAAGTAAAGTTTAACATATCATGTGAGCTACATCAGGTTTAAAAATATTATACGCATTATAGTTTGCTAATGTTCTCGTTAACTTGTCCAAAAAATCTCATGTTTTACTTTCACAGCCATTTACTATATCTGATGTGACCAACTTGATTTGTTGGCAAGAGAATCCTATTTTAATTACTTGGATTTGTATAGTTCGACTTGTGTTTAAATGAATTCATATCTACTCTAATGTTTTTGTCACAACCCCGGTTCGCCCTTCGTGAACCATCGTAACGGCACCTAGTCCTCTACGACTAGGTAAGCCTAAATTGCGGAATAAAAATAAATTAAAACAGAATGAAGAGTGATAAAACAATATTTAAAAGTGCCGCTTGGCATACACAATATTTAACTCTCAAACCAATACATACTTCCAAGACCCGGAAACCCACGAATCACAAGCTAAGGATCATTACACAGTACTCTAACTCCAGAATATCTAACAAGAACAGAAATACAGAAGGGCTAATACTTAAAAGCGAGAATAGAAAGGGACTCCTCGGTCTGTGAACGCGGCAGATATACCTCGAAGTCGCTGTAGCAGTCGTCTCGCCTCAAGGGTGATAGGACTGAGTCGCAGTACCTAGATTTGCACATGAAAAACATGCACAGAAGGGACATAAGTACACCACAACGGTACTCAGTAAGTGTGATGACCCAAACGGTCATCACTTGTTTTTAAAATGAATTCTGCATTCTGAGGCTTTAAAAACCTCTTTCTGCATCACTGCAATTTGCGTGCGTAGTCCGGGCGCGTAGCCGGAAAGCTATTATGTGAAAATTTGTGAAATAAATTGAAATTTTGACTTAAAATGCATTTAAGTTGACTTCGGTCAACATTTTGGGTAAACGGATCCGGACCCGTTATTTGACGATCCCGGAGGGTCCGTAGAAAAATATGGGACTTGGGTGTATGCCGGAATTGAATTCCGAGGTCCCAAGCCCGAGAAATGAATTTTTAAAGAAAATTATTTTCTGGAAATATTTATGAGTTTTGGAAATGAAATGCATTTAGAAGTTGATGGTATCGGGCCCGTATTCTAGTTTTGGAGTCTGGTACATGTCTTTTATGTGAAATAAGATGAGTCTGTGAAATTTGGTAAGAAACGGAAGTCGTTTGAGGTGATTCGGACCCGTAGTTGTGAAAATTCATATTTTGAAAGTGTTGAGATTTTTCTTAGATTTCTATGCTAAATTCTTTGTTTAAGAGGTTATTTTGGCGATTTGATCGCACGGAGAAGTTCATACGATATTTTTGAGTTAGTACGTATGTTTGGTTTGGAGCCCCGAGGGCTCGGGGTGAGTTTCGGATAGGTTTCAGAAAGTTTTTGAACTTATGAAAGTTGCAGGTTTTTGCTGTTTAGTGCACAGGGATTTTGTTCTTCGCGTTCGCGGGGTCCCACTCGCGAACGCGTAAGAAAAATCTCCCAGGTGCCAGCTTTTTTCTTCGCGAACGCGAAGCTTGAGACGCGAAAGCGAGGCTGAGGGGGGAATACCCTTCGCGAATGTGTCCAAGCACTCGCGAATGCGTAAGGCAATGGGCCTGGGGGAGGGGGTTCTCACTTCTTCTATGCGAACGCGGCCATTGGCCCGCGAACGCGAAGGCTCGAGGAGTCAAAGCTCTGCTAACGCGAGCCTAAGGTCGCGAACGCTAGGTCACCTAGGCCTAATTCATCGCGAACACGACAAGCCTATCGCGAACGCGATTAAGGCCTGTCCAGTGATTTTAAAACAGAAGCAAAACGGGACTTAACCAAAATTTCATAACTTCTTCTTCCAAACTCCAAATTGGGCGATTTTTGAAAGGGAATTTCACCACCAGTTCATAGGTATGTAATCTTAGACTCATTTTCTTCAATTTCCATTAACACCATTAGATTTCTAGGCTTAATCATGCTTTTAAGGGTAGAAAATTAGGGATTTGGGTAGAGTTAAGACTTTTTGCATATTTGGGATTTAGACCTTGTTTTGGGGTCGGATTTTGGAACTAAATACATATTCAGGCTCGAGGATGAATGGGTGATCGGGTTTTGGTCGAAACCTTGTGTTTTGGCTAAGCGGGCCCGGGGTCAATTTTTGACTTTTTGGGAAGAATGATGAGAATTCTATAATTGAGCATTGGAATTGGATTGATTAACGTTTATTGATGTTAAATCAATTTGGACTAGATACGAGTTGTTTGGAGGCGAATTCTAAAGGAAAAGCGGTGTTTGAGGCTTGAGTTGGCCGTGGAAGTTCGAGGTAAGTGTTTGGTCTAACCTTAGCTTGAGGGATTTGGAGTTGTGTCCAATTTGCTACATGTTATTTGTCGAGTACGACGTATAGGCATGGTGACGAGTATCTATACGTTGGTGTCAAGCATGACCGTGAGTCTTAAATTGAAATTGTTGTGTTCTTGATAAATTCTACGAATGCCTAAGTTGTTGATTCTCTGTGTTGAGCAAGGATTATGATTATTCTCGTGGGAATTACTTATGATTGAGTATTGGTGCTAATTGAGGTAGTTAGATGTTGGAACAAGTTTGGTTATAGCTGATTTCCCTTGCCGGGACGTAGTTACTTATACTGTCGAATTCCTTGCCGGGATAGTGTTGTTTCTTTATTGATCCCTTGTCGGACTCTTATTGTGATTGGTGCTGAACTGTATATGTGGATCGGGTTGCGCGCCGTAACAATATTATTTTTGAATCGGGTTGCATGCCGCAACAATATTATATTTGGATCGGGTTGCACGCCGCAACAAGATTATATTTGGATCGGGTTGCACGCCGCAACAAGATTATATTTGGATCGGGTTACACGTCGCAACAATAGTATATTTGGATAGGATTGCACGCCGCAACAATACTATATTTGGATCGGGTTGCACGTCACAACAATAATATAGTTGTATCGAGTTGCACGCTGCAACAGTGATAGATGATATGGATTGGGTTGCACGCCGCAACAGAGTTATTATGTTTTGGGATCGGGTTGCGCGCCGCAATAATTGATAATATGAAGTGTTTATAGATTTATTATGATTTCCTTTTTGTTTGCTGTAAATTCTAAATTGTTCTTATGCTTTTCTCTTAATTTACTGTTGGTAATGATATTTCCCCCACATCATGTACCGCCTCCTATCTTTACTTGTTATTCCTATTTTATTTGTCCGCTGCATATTATATAACTGTACAAGTTTATTTGGTAGCTTGGTCCTAGCCTCGTCACTACTTCGCCGGGGTTAGGCTAGACACTTACCATCACATGGGGTCGGTTGTACTGATGCTACACTCTGCACTATGTGTAGATTCCGGAGCAGCTTTTGGACAGTAGCATTTAGGGTGGCTGCCTTCAGTCTAGCTAGAGATCCCGAGGTAGTCCAGCAGGCGTCCGCAGGCCCGGTGTTCTCTTCTATCCTATTATGTATTTTGTTTTTATTTGTTTTCGAGGCAGATTGTACTTTTTTTCAGACATTTGTTGTAGTATTCATAGACAATCTGTGATATTGTGACACCAGATTCTGGGTAGAGATATATGTTGACGTAGTCGTATTGGTTATGGTTACTTATATCAAATTAAGTCTTCCGCTTGTTTTTACTTAACGTTAATGTTTTACTGTTGATCACATGTTAGTTTAAGTTGTTAAAAAGGACTAATAAATGAGTTAGAAATTCTACAATACGCGACTTGCCTAGCTTCCATGAGTAGGCGCCATTACGACTCCCGAGGGTGGAAAATCCGGGTCATGACAAGTTGGTATCAAAGCTTTAGGTTACATAGGTCTCACAATTCACGGACAAGCTTAGTAGAGTCTGAGGGATCGGTACAGAGACGTCTGTATTTATCCCCCAGAGGCTACAGAGTTAGGAAAAACTTCACATTTTATTCTTTCCTATCGTGCGGTTTGGTTCTCATCTAATTGAATTTCTACTCTATTCTTTCGCATATGGCGAGAACACACGCTTCCTCATCCACCGATCAGCAGCCCGAGCCCCCAGCAACAGCTCCTACGAGGGGCAGAGGGCGAGGCCGTGCTTGAGGCCGAGGTAGGGGCAGAGCTCAGCCTAGAGCAGTAGCACCAGCGGCGGAGCCTCAGGTTGACTTTGATGATGAGGTTCTGTCCTAGACAGTTCCGGTGGGCCCAACTCAGGTCCCAGAGGGGTTTATTGCTACCCCAGTACTCCAGGATGCTCTAGTCTGTCTAGTGGGCCTTATGGAGAGTGTCACCCGGGCAGACTTGCTTCTTGTAGCACCAGCTGTCTCTCAGGCTGGAGGAGGAGCCCAGACTCATGCTACTCGCACTCTGGAGTAGATGACTCCCCAGTTTCAGACTCCAGTAGCTCAGCCAGTTGGAGAAGTTCAGCCGGGTGTGGTAGCTCAGACCGTTGGGGGAGCATCTATGTCTGCCGATGTTTTGTGGAGATTGGACAGGTTCACCAAGCTCTTCCCTACTATTTTTAGCAGTGCATCTTCTGAGGATCCCCAGGATTTTCAAGACAGCTATCATGAGGTTCTCAGGAACATGGGGATAGTGGAGACCAATGGGGACGATTTTGCTACTTTTCGCTTATCTGGATCTGCCAAGTCTTGGTGGAGAGATTATTGCTTGGCTAGACCAGCCGGATCACAAGCCTTGACTTAGGAGCAGTTTACCCAGCTATTTCTGGAGAAGTTTCTCCCTATTACTCAGAGAGAGATCTATCGGAGGTAGTTTGAGCATATCCACCAGGGTTCTATGACTGTTACTCAGTATGAGACCAGATTTATTGACTTGGCCCATCATGCTCTTATCATACTTCCCATCGAGAGAAAGAGGGTGAGGAGGTTCATTGAGGGCCTTATCCAGCCTATTCGACTTTAGATGGCCAAGGAGACTAGGAGTGAGATTTCTTTCCAGGAGGCAGCCAATGTGGCCAGTAGAGTTACGATGGTTTTATCGTAGAGAGGTGGTCAGGGGTCTGACAAGAGGCCTCGTCATTTAGGTCGATTTAGTGGTACCTCGTTTGGAGGCAGAGATTCGTACGGTAGAGGCCATATTCCTAGGCCTTTTCAGTCAGCCCTTCATGTTTCTCACGGTGCTTCTGGTGGCCGTGGTTCTCACATGCAGTATTCTGATCAGCAGCCCTACAGTGCACCACCATCTCCTATTAGTGCACTGTCGCTCTAGAGTTTTCGTGGTGGTCATTCAGGTCGCCAGGGTCAGTCTCAGTTTCCTCAGCCGTAGCACTCAGGTGGATGCTATGAGTGTGGTGAGTATGGTCATATCCGGAGGGCTTTTCCGAGATTGGTGGGTAGTCAGTCACTGCAGCTGGGTTCCCGTGCTATGGTTCAGGCACCAGGTGTTCCACCGCCCACTTTGCCAGTTAGGGGTGGGGGTAGAGGTGCTAGAGGTGGAGGTAGAGGTGTTAAAGGTGGAGGCCAGCTAGCTGCAGGCAGTCCCAGAGATGTCGTTCAGGGTGGTGGGGCTCAGCCCCGATGTTTTGCTCTACCGGCTAGGCCCGAGGTTGAGGCTTCCGATGCAGTTATCATAGGTACTATTCTGGTTTGTGGCAGAGATGCTTCAGTTTTATTTGATCCAGGGTCTACATACTCCTATGTGTCATTTTATTTTGCATCGTATCTGGTTATGCCTAGTGATTCCTTGAGTGTTCATGTATATGTGTCTACACCAGTGGGTGATTATATTGTGGTAGATCGAGTCCATCACTCGTGTATAGTTGTGATCGGGGGTCTTGAGACTCGTGTAAATCTATTACTCCTGGACATGGTTGATTTTGATGTCATATTGGGGATGGATTGGTTATCACCTTACCATGCTATCTTGGATTGTCATGCCAAGACTAGGACCTTAGCATTGCCGGGTTTACCTCGTTTAGAGTTGAGGGGGACTCTTGGTCATTCTACCCGTAGTGTTATCTCTTATGTGAAGGCTCGACGTATGGTCGAGAAGGGGTGTTTGGCCTATCTGGCATATGTTCTTGATTCTAGTGCCGAGGTTCCTTCTACTGATTCTGTGCCTATTGTTCGTGAGTTCCCTGAGGTATTTCCTTCAGAACTGCTGGGGATGCCACCCGACAGGGATATTGACTTCTGCATTGATTTGGCTCCAGGCACCCAACCCATTTCTATTTCGTCGTATCGCATGGCCCAACCTGAGTTGAAAGAGTTGAAGGAGTAGTTTCAAGACTTGCTTGAAAAGGGTTTCATTAGACCTAGTGTTTCGCCTTGGGGTGCACCGGTGTTGTTTGTTAAGAAGAAGGACGAATCGATGAGAATGTGTATTGATTACCGACAGTTGAACAAGGTTACAATCAAGAATAAGTATTCATTGCTGATGATTGATGATTTGTTTGATCAGCTTCAGGGTGCCAAGGTATTTTTGAAGATTGACTTGAGATCTAGCTACCATCAATTGAGGATTAGGGCATCTGATGTCCCTAAGACAGCTTTCCGCACTCGGTACGAGTATTATGAGTTCTTGGTGATGTCATTCGGGTTGATAAATGACCCATCAGCTTTTATGGATTTGATGAACCGAGTGTTCAGGCCTTACTTGGATTCGTTCGTGATAGTCTTCATTGACGATATTTTGATCTATTCCCGTAGCCGGGAGGAGCATGAGCAACATCTTAGAGTGGTTCTTTAGACTTTGAGGGATAGTCAGTTGTATGCTAAGTTTTCGAAGTCTGAGTTCTGGTTGAGTTCAGTTGCATTCCTGGGTCATGTCGTATCCGTAGAGGGTATTCAGGTTGATCCGAAGAAGATTGAGGAAGTCAAGAACTGGCCTACACCAACATCAGCTACTGAGATCTGGAGTTTCTTGGGGTTGGCAGGCTACTATCGTCGGTTTGTGGAGGGGGTTTTGTCCATTGCAGCCCCGATGACCATGTTGACCCAGAAGGGTGCCCAGTTCAGGTGGTCGGACGAATGTGAGGCGAGCTTTCAGAAGCTCAAGACAGTTTTGACTACGATACTAGTGTTGGTTTTGCCCACAGGTTTAGGGCCGTATACAGTTTATTGTGATGCATCTCGTATTGGGCTTGGTGCGGTGTTGATGCAGGATGGAAAGGTCATTGCCTATACTTCGCTGCAGTTGAAGATTAATGAGAAGAACTATCCAGTTCATGATTTGGAGTTGGCAGCCATTGTTCACGCGTTGAAGATTTGGAGGCATTATTTGTATGGTCTGGCTTGTGAGGTATTCATGGATTACAAGAGTTTGCAGTACTTGTTCAAGCAGAAGGAGTCTAATTTGAGGAAGAGAAGGTGGTTGGAGCTGTTGAAAGACTATGATATCACCATCTTATATCATCCGGGAAAGGCCAATGTGGTGGCCGTTGCTTTGAGTAGGAAGTATGATGATCCCCATTTGTGTGTCCTTAGAGATACAGTGCAACACGGAGGTGCCAAACAGGTTACCATAGGTGATGATAGAGTCTTGAGATTGTAGGGTCGAGTTTGTATGCCTAATGTGGATGGATTTCGATAGTTGATTTTAGAGGAGGCCCATAGCTCTCGGTACTCTATTCATCCGAGCGCCGCTAAGATGCATCAGGATTTGCGGCAACATTATTGGTGGAAGAGAATGAAGAAGGATATCGTTGCATATGTGGCTCGGTGTTTGAATTGTCAGCAGGTTAAGTACGAGCATCAGAGGCCTGGTGGTTTGTTCCAGAAGATTGATATTCTCGAGTGGAAGTGGGAGCGGATCACTACGGACTTCGTTGTTGGACTTCCACGGATTCAGAGGAAGTTTGATGCAGTGTGGGTTATTGTTGATAGGCTGACCAAGTCAGCACATTTCATTCCTGTGGTAGCTCCTATTCTTCCGAGAGGTTAGATGAGATCTATATCCGGGAGATTGTTCGTCTTCATGGTGTGCACGTGTCTATCATCTCGGACCGAGGTACGTAGTTTACCTCGCATCTTTGGAGAGCAGTTCAGCGAGAGTTGGGCACACGGGTTGAGTTGAGCACAACATTTCATCCTCAGACGAACGGGCAGTCTGAGCGGACTATTCAGATTTTCGAGGATATGCTCCGAGCTTGTGTCATTGACTTTGGAGGCTCGTGGGATCAGTTTTTGCCTTTAGCAGAGTTTGCCTACAACAACAGCTACCAGTCGAGTATCCTGATGGCTCCTTATGAGACTTTATATGGTAGGCAGTGTCGGTCTCCGGTTGGATGGTTTGAGCTGGGAGAGGCTTAGTTGTTGGGTACGGATCTGGTTTAGGATGCCTTGGACAAGGTTAGGATTATTCAGAATAGGCTTCGTACAGTTCAGTCCAAGAAAAAGAGCTATGCCGACCGTAAGGTTCGAGATTTGGCTTTCATGGTCGGTGAGCGG